CATTACCAAGGTGCAGTACATTGTACAAAACCAGCCCACATGGGATGTTGCTGTATTAGGAAAGCATCCTCAAGAAGTATAACGCACTGTTTCACATGAGTAATTTCTGAAAAGGATTTTTAGGGCAACATGCTAGGTGGAAACACTTTGCTGAAAGAAAGGACATCTCCTTGTTTGTACATCAGAGTGAGCACTGTGCAGCAACTGACCCAACTAATGACGGAGAGACAGGTTTGTCTAAAAAATCACCAGTTTTGGACCTTCCAATCTTTATATGCCAGGTTACTATGAATTTTGATCTTTGCATGGCTTTTCTGTTTTTCTACTTGTCGAATCATCAAGGAAAAAAGCTTTCCACCAGAAAAACAAAGGAACAAACAAGCCAAGGCCACTGGACCTAAGACAAGGCTGCCAGGAAGAACAACAATTGGAGAGATGGCCGGAGGGACTCCACACCACTCTCCGAGGGCTGAGCTTTTCAGCTGAGCAGCCAGCAGTAAGAAAAGAGAGCCAACTTGTGAAATAAGTAGAGATGTATCACTTGGACAGGCTCCTTCATCTCCATAACTTGTCTTCATCTGCTATTTGTCCCAGTTTTTGTGCATTCTCTTGAATACAAGGACAGAGGGTATGTCTTTCTAAGAACGCGATTGTTTCCCAAAAGCAGCATGAAAAGAATGGAGTACAAAAACTGCAAGAGCTCGTACAGACTGTAGTAGCGCAGAACCCATACAATAATCAGTTTTCCAATTCCACAGAGGCAGAGCATATTCCCCTTCCCTGACCTCTCCTCTAGAGTTTTCATATGAAGGCAACTCTTTGTTTCTGACCTCCAAAGCCATTAAACTCCCTAGTAAGTAATTTCTATCTCTTTTTTATCTCTATTTTACTTTCCTTGCCACAAACAAAAGATGATTCACATTTTTAAAAAGAATTTGGGACAGCGTCTGTGAAAAACAAAGAAGGACTCTCGCTGAAATGGTATGCTAACTTGGACAGATACTGCATGCAATCTTGCCATGTAACCTGGCTCAAAATCAGCAATGCTCAAGCTTAAATTAATTCAGTCTACAGATCTGTTTATGTGGGCATTGGTTAGAATAGGGGCAACCTCTAGTTTTACAGCCTGAGCTAATATTGAAGAGAATATAACTTCTGGAAACAAATGGTATCCATGCATCATCCTGTCCAGTCCCAACACAAAAAGGTGCAATGAATGAGGTGACAAAAATCCTAATGCTATGACACACTAGTTTTAAACACTAAAGGTTAGCCTTTAATTAAAAATTGCGAATACTGATAGAGATCAGACAGACAGCCATCAAAAAATGGGAAAGAACTTTTCCCATGGAAAATACGCCTGTGGAATTAAGGGTTGATACGGATCCAAAGTGCAGGACAGTCTCAAGAACACCAACGATGTCTCTGATGGAAGAGTTCAGTAATTTGGCAACTAAAATTGTAGCCAGAAAACATGAATTCATCTGCACAACTAATAAATACAGGAAGAAGTGAACTTGACACTTCAGAAATAGACCAAGGCCCTATTCTCCAACAGCCCTCTTTAGACAGGTAGTTATTTCTACTGACAGAAGCTTAACCTCAGCTACTCAGATGTGCTCCTTCACATAATAAACAGAGATGAAATCCTTTCTGAAATCGACAGCAACCCTGCCATTGATTTCTCCTGGTCATTCGTCAAGTCATAGTGATACCATTGGTTATGGATGAATCGACTGACTGAGATGATGAAATATATCAGTTTTATGGCACAGTACAACTCTATTAGTGATGCCTTTCACAGGTGTATGAATCTGTACGTCTGAGGTACCATCTGGTGCCACAAGGCACCACTTATTACACAGATTTTTCTGTAGACTGGAATTATATTTTTAACTATTACAGTATATATATATGTATATAAAAAATAGAAATACAGTTCTTACCACTATATGCCATTTTATGGTAAATAGTTCGTGGCTTTTATCTTTGTGCACAATGATGAGCCTCTCTGTTTCTACAAAACTTTATAAACAATATTAAGATTGAATGGGTAATGGGATTGCATAGCTCTCAGGTTCATTTCCCTTACATTTTCTATTTCTAGAGAGGAGTTTTTTTTTATAATTAGGAACTTTTTAGATGTTGAAAAAGTGCTGCTATAAAAGAGTGGTATCTCTAAGTATTAGCAAGACATTACTGTATATTCAAGAAAACAGGGTTTTTTTAACTATGGACAACACTGTAACTGCAGAGAAGGGATGGGAAAAGGGGAGAAGAAAAAGGGGCATGAGAACTAATTATTACAACCTAACAAAGCAGCAGACACTGCTGTCCAAACCACTTCTGCTTGGGCTAATGCACTGAACTGGACCAGCCCTTCAAACAATTTCTTCCTACAGCCTTCAATATAGTCACCTTAAAATGCTTCTAAAGTATGAATACTCTCCAATACTTTGATGCATGCCTATATTACTAATGAAAATACGATTGCTATTATTACAGCCAGATTTCATGACTTTTCATGCCTTTTCTAGGTGTGGATTTTGCAGGCTGATGTTGACAGTTAAGCAAGTTGTTACAGCTGGTCATAATACACGTGTCAGAAACTTTTGAAAATATGACTTCTCAGTTAAAGTAGGGAATTGTTACTGTGGAAAATGTATAGTTTTACATTTTCCACTTTTTGTGGCTTTTTTTGTGATAAATACATGTGTAGGGCAACTGCTGTGAAAAAACCTGGACAGAGTATTCACAGGTGAAGTAACATTTGAGCCCAGATCCTTAGGAGCTGCACCAGGCACTGTGGGGGAAGCTCAGAGAGAAGATGGATTCATCAGCAACGCTGCAGTAGCAAAAGGACCCACCTCTCACTGACAGATTTCACTCTGCCAAGGGTGAAGAATCTCTTGTGTGAGTTTTGCTGTACAAGGTTAGGCTCCAGCACAGCCACCCTTGCGTTCAGAAAAATTATCACTAAATGTGCACAGCTGCTGTAAAAAACGTGCAGGAAAAGATGGGAATAAATGTTTATTTCAGTAAAAATACCAGCCAGTGATCCCAACTTTTCTAAAACTGTATTCCCAGAGGTCAAACCCTTTCACCATGGGGGCCTCTATCATATTCTCTAAAATCTGCCATGTCAAAATTGTAACTACTAAGTGAGGTGCTAGCATTCTTAAGGTAGTTTAAGAACCCCTTTGTATTATGATGGGCAATGCATCAGAATTAATTAGTATGAAAGCTGGTGAGGATAAAATGATGGCTAAAACATCAGAAAGAATTAGACTGAAAGGTGGTGAAAAGCCCAACAGCCATAAGCTTTCTCTGTGACTGAACTAAAGGAACACTTGGATAAATGGAGACTGACACAGCAAACAATTCCTTTACAAAAGACTTTCAAAAATGCCTTCTACAATATTTCAAGTTTAAAAAAAAGAAGCTTAAGATGCTTGCACGCAATTCATTTCAGCAAATTTTATTATGTCCAAAAATCTCAAACAAAAGCCCTCTTCAAATATTTCAGTAAGTATACATTCCTACAGAGCAACATGAGCTTGAATTGCCTTTTAGTTATGGCACAGAGGAAACTTCCTGAATACATAGGGCCGTTTGTTGTCAACTGCTTCACAATGTACATTCATGAAAAATGTTATAGGTTAGACATTTTCAGTATGTGGAATGTCACCTGGAAGAAGTGTCATCAGAGCTGGCATTGATGTGGTGTGGGGAAAAAATCAATGTACGTATGGCTTGGCAGTGTTTGCAAGTGTTCAGTTTGTAACCTCAAAACTCAAGAGAGGACAGTCTGAACAAACACAGCAGGAGTCATCAGACTCCTTCCTCAGCTCTGCACACGCATAATATCAGACTGTTCCTTTCAAAATATTGTAAAACAGTACAGTATCTAGCAGAAACTGATACTCTTTTTGTCAGTAGTAACTCTCATACTGCTCCTTTAACACACAATTTAGGGAATAAATAAATAGCAGTACCATCTGCCCCACCCCACAAAGGACCAATTTATCAAGCCCAGCAGTAGTGGACAAATCTTGATCTGCTGTGGTGATACAGTACTCACACGCTGAAGGATGAGCTCTGCTGTCATCTGCTGATGAACAGCAGTGCCAAATGGTTTGCCATGCCTTGGTATGGAAAACAAAGTAATAATGAAACATTTTGCACAGATGCAACTAGAGAAGCAAATATGATGCTTTTCAGCTCTAAATGCTGCATAAACAGTAGTAAGTACCTGATGGCAAGTGTGGCCTTACCTGTCCCTTAGCATTTAAACATATAGTTGAGAGAAAGAACGTCCCACTTGACATACCAGAGAGGGATGAAAAGGTCAGATTTCTTCTCAAGAAACTACTTTTATGATTACTGATGCAGCAATTTTGAAGCTTTGAGTTGATGCATATAATTCCACATTATTAAAAATACTCAGATACAGGTTCTGCTACACAAGTTTGGTGTACTTGAGAAATGAGTAATTATGTCTTTTTTTTTTTTCTAAAAACATGCAAGTCCAAAAAGCATAGTGAGATTTTTTGAACAAGCATTTTAACCAAAATTTGTTTTCATCACAAATTATACTTTGGTAGAATGGTAAAGAATCATTCAATTAAGTGTTTCTGTCATTTTAGAGAAAGATTTGTCAAAGTCAGAACTTCTGTTTTGTGGAAGAGTCTCTTTTGAATAAACTTCTGACCAGGGTGACATTGCTCTGGGAAAGGCACCTTATCACAGAAAACAGCTGATCCCCACAACTAGCCTGGGATGTAGGACACACAAGTTCAAACCTCCACTGTTTCAACCTAATAGGGATCCAAATATGACTCAAGGAGTCAAGGAAGGAAAGATGTTATTCTTGCTTGCAAACAATATTCCTTAATCACTTCTGAGGGGATTAGCTCTGAAAGTATGCAGAGTCATGCACAGGGAAATCACTGTCTTACACTTTTGTTTATGCAAGGAAGTGTTTGCATTACTTTACTCACCATTCCATGATTTAGCCACGCTGGTATAAAATTATCAAGCAGCTTTGGGTAAACCAGTTCCCTGTCATAGATATAGATGCTCCAAAACATCGTCACAACAAACTAAGAAGAAAAAAAAGAAAAGACATTTTAAAATATATGCTTCTGAACAATTAACTACACATTTTAGATAGCAAAATGGAGCATTTAGCAAATGATCTATGGACAGACACAGACATTATTGTTCTTTGACCAGATCCTGCTTTAATCAACAGTGTGAATCTGGATTATTGCTTTTCTTCTGGCTTTTTTTTTTTTTTTTGACTTTCAGCCTGGAAAAAATCTCAATTTTTGACTTACATGCCTGTGGCCAAATTACAACTGAGTACTACACTTTAGTAGCAGATGTGGCACATAAATAATGTTTTACCACTAACAGGATGGAAAACAAATGGAAAATCAGGTAAAATATCACTTGGAATTCATAGAACATATAAATATGAAACACTCACCCCTGAACAGAAGCCTATAAACTCATCTTTGTACTTTTTCATGTCAGCCATCGAAATATCATTGTTTTAAAAAAATATTTAACCCCTTAACTACTCTGCACACAATTCATGGACTGGGATCCACAGAAAGAGGTCTAGTATCGTGCTTGTTTGTCAATATGAAATTTGGCTTGGTTCTTGTCAGAGACTATTTACCAGGAGCTCAGAGAAAGACTATTATTTCCTCTAGAGAGAGGACAGGACAGATGGCTCAGATAAAATTCGCACTAGCCTAAATTTTTGCCAAAGTGTGCACAAATTCCTTAAAGATACCCTGATGTCTGAAAAGCAAAAAACCACAAAAATTTACAGAAATAATAGTTTTAGCTTACCTTAGATGGGAAAGAACAAAGTAAATAATCTTCTAATTACAACACAATTGCTTTCTTACCTTGAATTTGAGTCATAGTTTTCTAGTAATAAAAGGCTTATTGTTTACAGCAGTAAAACCCAATACCTGGGCCAGGAGCTTTTCAATGACCATTTTCAGGGGATATCTACACAGTAGCGACAAGTCCAAGTTTAAGGTTTGAGAGGCAACAGATAGGACTTTCACTGAGATCAGCAGGGAAGTATTCAGTTACATCCAAACCAATGTGGGCCATTGGGGGGGGGGGGGGTGTCAGTAAAAGAAAGTGCAAGAAATATGGGGTGAGCGCAGCAAGGTCAGCAAATTACTAGTGTGTGTGATAGTGTAGGCATAAGTTGTTTCATACGCTTCTGACGTGGGAAAGTTAAAATTGAGGTTGCAGTTTATCAATGGCACCTTGTTCTAACCACAGACACGCAGACTTCGGCCAGCCAGTTATGTGAATGACCTGAACCAGTACACTGTTCCCTCAGTGTGCATACAGTACATAGTTTCTTGGCTTCCAACACACTTGTCCATCTGTTATGATAGCTATCGATGCCTGCTCAGAATAAGCTTGGACTATTTGACTAGTGCACAGAGGCCAGGAAAAAAAAAACCACTTATGATGGACAGCCCGAAAAACATTGCAAGTGTAAAGTACCCCACAAGAAGTCTCTCTTCTGGGACAGTCTTGGCATTGGCACAGCCTAGCTCTTTACGCACCTGCTGACACATAAATGCCAAGATATGAATAGCTGAACAGCAGGGAAAATGGAAACAAAGTATCCTCTTCTCTCTAGGCTTCCTAGAAGTCATGTATTATCACAGTGGGTCTCTGAGAACCTGCTAAGACCAACTGGGACATCAAAACATACTCTCAGGCGCATGAAGACCAAGACTGATAATGCTTTTTTCCAAGGAAGTCTTACAGCAAGAAAAATCACCCAGGATTAGGTTGAACCTTATTACACTGAACACAACAAAGCTGGCATGTTTTGACCTGTGATTTTTGTGCGGGGCACAATAAAGCAATAGACTTTGCCAAGGAGGTAAAGATAAGAAAAGAGGGGATGTGCCATCTGTCCCTTAACCAAAGTCAGCCAATGGATGGAACAGGATCAGCCTAGCTGGTTGCAACCATCTGGAGCTACAGACGGCAAATGCTGCTTAGCAAAGCACTATCACAAGGCAGACATAAGGTAAAGGAAGTACGCAAAACCCAAGGTGTTACAGAACTAACCTATCCCGGAGGACGACCTGACATGAGACTAACGCAATGCCCTGGGGAAGATCCCTTCCAGTGTCTGAATTGTTCACCTTACCTTTCCTTACAATTAGTTCATTTGGATAAAATGAACTATAAAAATGAACTGTTGTGCTATGAACTAAAATGAACTATAAAAATGAACGATAAAAATGAACTATTTGAATAAAAAGAACTGTAACGAGGACTCGCTACTTAGCTACCTTGGTGTCCTGGTTTCAGCTGGGATAGAGTTAATTTT